GGACATGGCTGTGTCTAGGTATATTATATCCTTCTTTCATTCTCCTTCCCTCTGAAACACTCGATAATTATTGTGCCCTATGTGCCCCACGTCAATGGAGGCTATTTGTCAAGAGCCTAAGTTGACTGAATGAGCTTCACAAGCATCAGTGAGGAGCTGGGAGGGAAGGAAAGAAGGGAAATAATATTTATTAAGTTCGTACCATGCCACATAAATATATAATATTTTCATGGCTTTTCTCTTATTAAAGTCAGTGGGAAGTAAGAACAGGGGCTGGGTATATTCCTAAAAAGATAGGCAGAACCCCAGTAGACATGAGACCAGTTGAGGGAGTCGGACACTGGACACCCAAAGGCAAAATGTTCAGGAGGCTAAGGGGTCTGGGGAGGGGGGCTTGAGGGGGAAGCATAGCCCAGAAGAGCAGAAAGGAAAAAGCCTGGGAACCCCAGTGCCGTGGCCACAGAAAGGGGATCACCCTGACTTTAGTGAAAGAAGAAAACAACAGACATCTGGCCCCTATCTAGTAACAGTTTGTTATCTTGAAGACCTGAGTGACAGAGCAAGAAGGCTGATGTCTACTCATAAAGACACACATCTTGGTACTACAAGACAGCGAACGGAAGCAGTTTGTATTTGGAGCCCCTGGAATAGACATGCTGAGTCTAGCCGGACCATAGAAGTCAAGCACTGTTGGATCAGGTACTTGCATGCAAACATATGTTTTTGGAATATCGGAAGTGATAATTAAGAAAAGAGAGATAACAGAATTTGGTTCTGAAAACCAGAATCAAATTATAGTGTTTGAGGAAAACACGTTAATGGCATTGCCATCAGCGTCACTACCCTGAGTACGTAGCGCCCTAGAGCCCTCACTATGGGGCAGGTGCTGTGATACTGTCCTGCAACGATCCTTGAAGTAGCCACCCTTATTCTCTCTTTATAAATGAAGAGGTTAAGGAACCTCCCCCAGGTCATCCGGCACGGCAGTGATGGAGCCAGGATTCAAACCCAGGCCCAACTCCAGAACCTATGCTGGGCAAAGCCGCACCGGTCTGTCCCCTAATAAGGGGTATGCCAAGTGGGATGTAGTAAATGTGACCTAAAATTAGATTAAAGAAAAATGAAATGAAGCCTTTTGAAAGTAAAGAGTAAATTCTGATCTTGTTCTCAGTCCAAAAACAACTCATTTATTCAATGTCTTTTTGAATAGGCATTTCACAAAAATGCATTTTCTAGCTAATCGATGCTTCCCCAAATTAGTTTTACATATATTTCTCTGCCTTAAAGTGATTATACTAAACATAATGGAACTATTTGTTCTGCCTTAGGTCTAGCACTTCTCAAAAACAACGAAAGCAGCAAATACAGTGTCACTCATAAGGATAATTTTCTGGCTTTTCGGTCTCTTCCCTCACTCTTGTGAGGAGGAGCTCTTTTTCTTATCATTGCTCCATCCTAGTTTAGTTGACTTGACATCCCTCTCCTCATCCTACCAATTTGCTGCTTGTCATTTGCGCTGGGACATTTCTGTTGGTGCTTGCTTCTTGATGGTCTAGAGGGAAAGTCATCTCCAAACAAATGAGCTCTTACCCATTAACGTGAATCCCACGGTAGTCCTCAATTTAAAAAGTATTTTTTCTTTTCTAGAAAGGATCATAAGAAACTACTTAACAGGGGTTACTCTTGGGGAAATGGGCTGGCAGAAAGAGGTAGGAGGAGAAAATGGAGTCCCCCCTCCCCATTTTTTATTTAATACATTTAATTAATTGAAAGCATCTAACGTTATGTGTGTTTTAATTTTACCTTAAGAATATCAACAGTGATTACTTGGGCAGGAAGATTTTTGATCTTTTTTTTTTTTCTTTTTTATATTTAAAAATACTCTGATGATATAATGATATCCATTTATACATGTTTGTATTCACATCCGTAAGTATATATATACAAATATAAATTTTAAAGATGCCTATAGAAATTACTTAAGAAATCTTAATTTCTTTGTTAAGGCCCATTATATGGTAATACTTAAATCCGGTTGTCCCTCAGTATCCATGGGGGATTGGTTCCAAAATCCCTGCAGATACCAAAATCCATGGATGCTTTAGTCTCATATAAAATGGCAGTGGTACCTGCATATAACCTATTGACAACCTCCCATATGTTATATTTTCAGTCATCTTTAGATTACTTATATCTAATACAATGTAAATAGCTGTTATGCTGTATTGTTTAGGGAATAATGACAAGAAAAACAATCTGTACTTGTTCTGTACAGAAGCAGTTTTTTTCTCTGAATATCTTCAATCTGTGGTTGGTTTAATCGACAGATGTGGAGCCCCTGGATACAGGGGGTTGACTGTACTTCTGTTGTTATAGTAAATAAATTCTTAATTCTCTTTGGAAAAATATGTGTGTGTCTTCTGTGTGTACCTGTGTTTCAAAGCTTTTTGATTTGTGAATAAATTCCTAAATATCTCTAGGGGTGGGTGTGCAATTTTCAAAATGAAATTTTGAAGACTCATTAAGTCTTTGAAAAACATCTGCTGTGGCACATTTTTTGTGACTGCAATCTACACTGTAAGATATAAAATGGAACTTCCCAATAATTCTCTAAAAATTACTTATTGACCTAAATTGTAGAACCTCACTTTACACTTGGTTCTTTCCTTAAAAAATTAGATCCCATATAACTACTGTGTGTTAAAAGTCAAAGATACAGACATAACATCTTACTAAAAAAGTCTATATATAATCAAAGAATCATTGAAAGTATTGATATTTATTTTATTTCTTGAAATTTACTTCTTTACTTTGAAAAAAGACACTTGAAAAAATACAAATAGTTTAATTCTCTGAAATTAAAAAGTGTATCTACTCTTGAAAAACAGGGGACAATAACAGGTTTGGCACCTCTGACAAAGTTCTCCAACTTCTAATATTACTGATCCAATTAAGCATAGATAGAAAGGTTTTTGTTGCCAGAACTATTTTCATTTACTTCTACTTCCCTTTGCTTCTTGGCACTCTTCAGGAAGTATGTTGAGGAAAACAAAAAGTAACTTCTCCAAATCATGGTAGGTGTCTTCTCATTGTCTCATCATTGTCAGAATCATCACCATAGGTCAAAAGCTGTTTATTTGTGACTCGTTTCTATTAAAATAGCTGGAACTTTCCCTATCAGACTGATACAATCTCTGTCAGAGTGTGGCAGGCAGCAGGGATTCTGAACAGAGTAATCTAGAAAAAGAGCTCGTTCTTGACTATACAGGCATAACTGGGTCATGTAAAACAAAGGTAATGATCAAGTAACTGGATAAAGCTGTAAGGAAATCCAAGGAGCCAATGAAAACAGAGCTTGGCACATAGTAGGCACACAATAAATACTTGTGAGATGAATGAGACAATTCTACTCATGTAACACAAATTATTTGAACAAAATGATATAATCTCCCTTTTCAAAGTTCTATTAGGAGAATAACATTGTTTATATGGCTCCGGTCTGTAGGAAAAAAACAGATTGAGCAATAGAATCGAAGCAGAAGTCAGAATAAGCAAGCCAACCCTCAGCTCTCTCTTTCCAGAGGCATAAATTGGGCTCTGTAGCCCATGTTTCGCAGAAAAGCCAAAGATCTATTCTGTAGCAAGTAACTTTGGGACAACCAAACACTTTGTTAAAAAGTTGTCTATGAGGCTCAGAATTTAATTTTAGGGAACAAATATAAGTCCTGTGAGTTCTCACCATATCAGATGATCACATTAATATTCATCAAAGCTACAGAGAAATCATGTGGAGATTATCTGCCTTTTCTATTTTCCATGCTACTATACCCCTTTAGTATGAAGATCACTTAACAGACACCAAGAAGAGTAAACAGTTCTTCACAGAATCCCCGAGTTAGAAAAGCCCTTAAAGGTCATCTGGTTCAATTACCAGAATACAGCCAGAAACTGTGCCTGTGAAACACGGAACTATATATAGAAGTGAGAGCACACTCCTCTGTTGCCTCAGTGTGGTTTTTTTTGAAGTTAAGCCAATACATAATCTCTTAATCACAATCCTTTTTTGCATTTATTTATATCACTATCAAAAGAATATTTTAATACTACTAGCATGACTATACTATATGGACATTTTAAATTAAGAAAAACATGATATGAATTTTAATTAATACTGCTATCAGTTTAGTCTGAATTTGATTCGAAGATTCTTAAAGTTAGTCTACGCTTCCATTTAATACAGAAATCCTCTCTGTGGCATATTTCATCTAAAAGATTGGATAATAAAAGATTAATGCAGCAATGTTAAATATTTACATGTTTTAAAATTCCACAGGAGGTACTAAATATGATTATCACTTTTTGTTTTTCTTACATAAACTATTTTTTCTATATTTTGAACAAATGGATATGATATTAAAATGTTCTCTTTTTATTTTAAACCATTGCCAGTTACTGTATATGGAGATTTGCTACAACATACTTTGTGTTAATATAATTCATAATACAAAGGCTATACTTAAAAGCATTTCAAAATCAGGATGTAATTCTTTTAGGTAAAATAGAAGTACTTCCGGCTAACTATAGCAAATAAATTGTCTAATTTCAGAACTAATTTGTCAAATACTGCCACAGAGCACCTGTGTAACAAAAAAGAACACCTTAGTGTGCGCTGCCGCACAAAGTGTAATGTGTTAAAATAACCATACAACATAGGGTGAATCATATTTTGCAAAGAAAGAGGCCTGTGCACACTTAATAGAAAACCCACATCACAGCCAGATTCAGCATCACCAAGTTACGCGATGAGAAGGGATTTTTGTTCTAAACAACAGTGCCACTCAGTGGCTGAAAAATGGTAGTGAACTGAAAACAGTATGAATGGAGGGTGGGCAAAAGGAAAAATGAAGTTTTGGAGTAGGCAATTATAATACTGTAGGCAGAGAGAGAGAGAGAGAAAGAGAGAGAGAGAGAGACGCCATATGTTGCTATGGTAACTGTACCTTGGAGGTCAGTTAGCGTCTGGACAGGAACAGAAACCTGAGCATCGTTTCCTGTAACTACATCGCCTAGATTTCATAAGAAAAAATAATTAGATTTCACAAAAAGGAAATAACTTTTCTTTCATACTCAATGTTGTAATACTTTTATCAAATTACTAAAAATACAGTACAACAAAAAATAAAGCACAAGCTTAAAAAATTAAAATATTTTTAAAGGAAATAATTTTTAAGAGTGTTGCCTAAGAAGCTTTTGTGTTTGTTTTGCTTAAAGAAAACATAAAGTTTCTACTAGACCAGAGTATAGGAAACCTTAGCAATCAAAAGATTTTGCTGAGCAGATTTCATGGCGCTTAAAATTTTAATCTAAAATATTTTTCAAGAAAATAAAATATATGAGTGTTTCCTAAGAAGCTTTTGTGTTTGTTTTTCTTAAAACATAAACAAGTTTCTACTAGTCTTGAGTATAGGAAAGTTTAGCAATTGAAAGATTTTGCTGAGCAGATTTCATGATGCTACAAATATTAGCATGATTTTATAGTTTCTTTTCCTTTTTGAAAAAAATTTTTTTATCCAAACGTAAGCTATATGTCGTTTATTTAAAAATAGGCATTCTTTTGAAATTGATTCTGTCCTATAGCAGACAAAATTTATTTTTAACTAAACTTGAAACCAACCTCTTCAATGATAAGATAAAGACCTAAATAAGATATAATTTCATATTAAGTAATGAAACAATTTCATAAGTTACCACATGTACTTATAAATGTCAACATATAAAAATAAACCTATGAACTGCATACCCGTAACTTGATATACTTATTACAGGCAAGATTTCATTTACAAATTGGACCTACAGTAAGTGCTTAAAATAAAGACGCGTTCAAATTAAAAAGCAATTAAAAATATAGACAAAGGAAACAGAAAGAAAAAAAACCAAGTGCATTTTAAGAACACAAGAAAGAAAGGAAAAGGAGCATAACAGAAAATCTTGTGAAGAACTTGAGGTGCACTAACATTTAGAAGGAAGACTTTTTGGTTCTTCGATTTCCTTCCTGGATGACAAAGTTCAGCACTGAGTACAGTCATTGTCAACAGAATAATCCTCTGCATATATCACCATCTGAAGGCCTATGCTATTTTGAGATTAACAAGCTAAAGAAAAAGAATTTTTAAAAAACACCATATTTTCCATGTATAATAATATATGATTAATAGACTTACTTCCGCTTTAGATTTTATATAACGTGTATAGTAGTAAAAAAAAATCAATTTCTGAATGAAATAACATGCCCTCAGTGTCCTGACCACTTGCTACAATTATGATTTATAGCATGGCCAGCTCATCTAGAAATTGGTGGGTTATAATTATATCATTCCTATCAATTAACAGTACACATTTACAGTCTCCTATAATTGAAATAATATCTATAAATAGGAACACATCCCAAATAAGTGATAAACAGCTTCTATCAGAAATAGGCCTCAGATTTTCATAATATAGCTAACTCTAAATTCACTGATAAATGGTATGCCTACTTTCTATGTATTTGAAGGAGATTTTCACTTCTATGCCTGCTACCCATTTTATTTTGCTTCTTCTAGATCACCTATTATTATATGTAATAATATATAGAGACTGAAAATTCATTCTAATATTAAATATCATCAAGAAAATTGTGGGGAGCATCTGTGCTGCTGCTTCTTTCTTTCACTATCCCACCCCCAGCACACACACAAGCTAAACTCATTTTGAGCAACACGCATGAATTTGGGTTATGAATACAAGTGTCCCCCTATATGAGCATATAAGCACAAATAATTGAGAGTTAACTAATCTATGAAAACCATAAACAGTTTCATCTTTATAAACCATTTTTCAAAACAACTTTCAAATTTTCCAGCAGAATACACTAAAAAGGCTATTACATTATCTTTCCTCAAAGGCACTAAGTAGATGACTCTGTCCTGAGACAGTCAGAAATCACATCCCAACATGAGCCTCCTGACAGGCCAAATAAATATGTGTTCACTAATCTATGGGACAGGTGACACATTTGCAGATTTGTCAGTGTGATAGCACAGTAGGATACTTGTGGGAAATACCAGCATGAAAAACCAATGAGAAATATTTTTCATTGTATAGTTAATAAATATATCTTTTACCAAAAGAACCATAGATTTTTAGAGCTGGGAGACTCCCTAGGGATCAGCCCGAACCTCTTATTTTACAGCGAGGAAACAAAGGGTCAGAGAGCTTCAGGGTGTCGTTTAGGGTTCATCGGTGGGTGAGTGAAGGAAGAGTATTAAACCACGGTATCTCCTACTTCTCTAAACTATTTTCTTTGCCCTTTATTTTATTCAAACCTTTATGCAGGGAGGGGTATCAGCAGGAATATTCATCTTTAATATGAAGGTTTGACAAGCTTTTTTGGTAGATTGACATGAGAAGAAGGAATCAGAAATAAAAATATAAAAGGGTTGCCAAACAAGGCTACTTTCTTTCAGCACAGGGATCAGTCACAAAATGCCCTAGTGAGATCCATGTTCCAAATACTTTGCTTAAGTGCTCTGTTGTCTCCTTACAACTGGGGACTTAGTTTTCATCAATTGTTCCATCTCTATGCACTTCCTTTCTCACTTACTGTGATATTAATACTTGACATTTCCTTAGAGATACAACTTTATATTTCTACAGTCATTTGGCTTGGTTCCTGAGAAAATTTAAGCTACAACATTAAGAGATTCTCTGACTCATTTGCCTGCCATCAGTTAGAATTACAACTGACTACGGCTTGTTATCAAAGCAATATTGAAATCATATTTGTTTAGAACAATAAAACAGTACAATTAAGAAATATATAAAATAACATTCATTTCCATTCTGGAAGTGGGCATGTCTCCTGGCATTAAAATACATTTACAATGTGTTAATGATTTGAAGTCTCCTTTTTTAAAAATCATGTGTGATAGCTCTACATCAAAAAGAATGTAATTTTCAATGAGATAGTCATATGTAAGGTAATTCCAATGGAAATTTAAATACTAATTATATAAAACCTAATATTTCATAGGCAAAGAAAAATAGAAAAGATAGGTAACATGATGTAACTAATAGAAGAATACAGACACACACACATCCACTCATTATTGAAGAATGCTCATCATTTTTCATCACTGGGGAATAAAGTCCATTTAACTTAAGTTTACCCATTTAAATGCCATATGTAAAATTTTTAATAATTTTCTTAAACAGAGTATATGGAACACAGTTTAAGGTCTTCTTACTGACAATATTACTATTACTATTGTCAATACTAGTTACCAGACAATGATATAACAGAGGGATCCCTTAAAGACATGAATGAGGCTTGGGACAGGATGTTTGCTCTGACACTAAATAGCCCCAGACTGCCATGCTTTGTGAGGTTTTAGGATCACTTTTCGTATACATTCTGCCATCATAGTACTATTTCTTGTTTCTATAGTATAGTTAGCAGAGCCCTACCACTAAAAATAAATGTAGCTGTTTCTAATCTGTTAAGAACAGGGTGACCTAACACATTATGTCACTTTAAAAACAGGTGGAAAATAGGAGTATAAAGATTTGAGTAAGAACCTGAAAGGCTCTCTTACGAATAAAGTACATGAGGGAGGTGAAGCACTGGGAAGGCCCCAAAAAAGAAACGAGCTCTCCTGAGCCCTAGTAGCAAGAGTGCTACCAATAGCAGCACCAACAGCAGTGCCCCCTCACTCATCGAATGAGATATTTAGATTGGATGATCTCCCAGGTTTCTTCTGCTCTAACATTCTGTGGTTCTAACTTTTAGTGCATGGACTCATGCACTTATTTTGGCTGCTTGAGATAGTTTAGATGTTTTCTTCCCTTTAAGATTCTAGTTTGTATTCCTTAGAGGTGAAGCAGCTGGATGAGAGACCTCAAGCCTAGTGCACTGCACTGACGAATGCTATGACTAGCAAAGCCCATGGTATCTGAACTTCCCATTTCAAATTCTCTTCTAGGCAGAAGCATTGCTACACAAAGTTAGCAGAGAACAGAGTCAACTGCTCTCAAGTTCTGTGTTGTGTTAATTCATGCCATCATACCATATGGGCATCCACAGGACAAAATTGCAAGTATACTAGAACATAAGTGTTAAAAAAAAAAACAAAACCCTAAACAAATTACCCCATAAAATGTTTTTAATTAAGAACCATACAGTATCTGATATTCAAACTTAAAAAGGATCAAATGTAACAGATTTAAAAAAATAAGTTTTGCATTAATTTCTATTTCTAGAAGGTTGATTCCTCACAAGAAGGTGAGGAAATTCCAGGCTATACTATGAAAGTTTCCTTTGGATTTATTAGCATTTTTTGCCTACCTTTGTTCAATTGCACCGGCATGCTTTCCGATTTCATCAGCCGCTGCTGCTGCTGCTGCTGCTGCTGCTGCTGCTGCTGCTGCTGCTGCTGCAAGTGATGCCTTGGGGCCTCTGCTGAAGTCCTGGTGGGAATCACAGCAGAGGAGGAGCTACTGCTTTGGGCCCCAAGTACAGGGCCACCAGCACTTCCTGGGGCCATCGCTGGCGAAATCAACTTTCTTCCAAAATTTATCAGGCTATTAGAGACCTTATTTATATTCAGAGGAGCACCTTTAGTATTGGTCCTGCAAGAAAAAAAAAAAGAAAAAAGTGGAGAGATATCATTTAAATGAAGAGGATGACTCTATTTCACATACTCCATTGGTATGAAAACAAACCTTGCCTGCTTTGAAAAAGGCCATTTACTAGCTATATAAAGTGAAAAGTAAAAATTTAAAGTGACCGCAGAATAAAATAATGAGATTCTTAAAACATGGCTTATAGAAAAGAGTCTTATTACTTTTCACTCATTCAACAAATAGAGTCTATTATGTGCCAACACTCTGCTGGGTTCTGGGGATATGATTGCTCGAAATAGCCATAGTTCCTCTCCTGGAGCTGCTAGTCTAGTAGGGAATAACTAATCAATCAAGTAACTGCATAAATGAAAAGATGTTTAAAACCTGTGATATGGACTACTAAGGAGTCGTACAGGGCTGGGCAAGTCCTGAGATGCTCACAGAAGAGAGCACCTGTGAAATGAGGTTGAGACTAGATTTCCCACAAGCCTTGGCACACAGGTACCGGGCCAAATTTAATATGATTTTGGAAATAAATGTGTTTGACAGTAATGAAGTAGATTCATAAATGTATGTCAAGTGCCCAGTCCACTAAAATTGCAATCCACATTTACCCCCTCTCCAGCACTCTAAATCCTCCTTCCCTACATCCCTGGTTTATTTTTCTTGATAGGATTTTTTATCATCTAACATATATTTTACTTATTTATTTGGTTATCATTTGTCCACCTCCTCCAATCCCCATTTGAATATAAGTTTCATGAGGGCAAGGACTTTTGTTCTTTTGTTAAATGCTACATTGCCATTGCCTAGCACATTGTGGGTGCTTTATAAATATTGGTTAACAGGCAGCTGCATCTATGTACCTGTCACACTGGAAGAAGAGTCCCTGCTTCCAGCCATGACTAACTTCTCTACTTGTGATCTAAATCCCACCTCCTCTGACATTTTGAGATTACTGCTTCTGTGTCCTTTTCACCTGCATCATCATTTTCTCCTTTACTGCATCATTCCATCAGCATACAACCACGGTGAGTGTGTATGTGCGCATACTAGCTTTTCCTCTGAACCCTCGTTCCTTTCAAGTTGGCATCCCATTTCTTTCCCTACTTACAACATGTACTTTCAAGCTATCTTAACTTGCTACTTCTGCTTCTTCAGTCTTTGGTCCACTAAGCTCTGATTGTGGCCTCTTTGCCATTGCCCTAAAACCACTCCTCAAGGTCACCAGTGACTTCTGCATTGCAGATCCAAAGGTCTGTTCTTATTTGACTCTACCTCTCAGCAGCTATCAACTCCCTTAACCACTCTTCTCCCCCTTATACATTTTCTCTCTTGCCTTCCATGGTTCACCAGTATCTATGTTGTAACTGTGTCTGGCAAATCGAGGGCACCAAGTAAACATTTCTTAAATGAACGATTACTTCCCAGATGATTCAGAATTATCTTGAAGACCAGTAATGATTATAAATTATTTTAGTTCTAAGAGGTAGCACACTCCATGACAATACCGGTTTGTATTTTTATTGACCAAATCATTAATAGAAACTTATTTCGTTATATTTTTGCTTCTTTTTCATAAAAGTGGGAAACGGAAAATCAACTTTGAGAGATCCACTTATTTGATTTTAATTAAACTGAATTTTTCTATTATTTCCTTCTCTCAGATCTACCTGGTAGTATTTATATAGTGATCCTACTTTTTATATGACAGCTGTATCTTTAGCATTAACTAGGTATTGCTCTAAAACAGAACTGATTCATAGTTCTAGAATAAAAGGGAAAGAACGCTAGGCTTCTTCCATAAAGTTTTCTCTAATGGTACTAGCTAATGTTATGGGCTAGGTATTGAAGACTTACATTGCTTTGCAGATAGGACAAATCAAATTTAAAACATGGAATTTAGTTTTATAAAAGAAAGATCTATTCATTTATAACTCAATTAAGTGTGAAAAATTTCAAATGGTTCTTTTGGCATCAAATTTCATCTTTAAAGACTTGAGCTATTTAATGTCCTTCCAAAAATTATTAAAAATAATGTTTCCTAATGGATATAAATATATACATAGTGATTATGCACCACTTACTTTCATTTTTCAGCTGCTTCCAAATGAAGTAGACATTGTCAATTTATAAGTACTACAGGTTAGCAAGAAGGAAGGCACTCAATACATGTTTATTGAGAAAAAAAGAATGATTGAAATGAAAAGAACTCATAAATTCTGTATTAACTAGGCATTTACCTCTGGCATTATATTCTACTCAGCATCCTGCATGCACTCCTATTTCTTATGAGTGGTAGTAGAAAGAAGAGTTATCATGATTTTGAAGTTCTGTTGCATTTTAGTTTTGCTTGTTTGCAAGTCAAGATTCATAATTCACAGATATGAAGAAGTTATAATGTTAGCCTCTTTTATACACAAAAATGTACTAGTCAAATTCCCAGATTGCCAGTTGTAAAATTTATATGTTGATAGAAGTACTAAGAAATTGCTAGAGCATTATCAAGAGAATATGGTTAATGTATCTTCATTACTACTAATAACCATGAAAAACATATAGATCAAGCTTATGCCGAGCAATTTTTCATCTGAATAGCTCTTAAAAGGGGATGAACATAGTTTTCCTTTTTTGAATTTTTTTAAACTACTTACTCCCTTATCTACTACTCATGGCTTCCAGAACTATATTTTATTTTCAAAACAACTATTGAAGGTGACTGTATGTATTTTTAGGATATAAGCAACTGTAAAGCGTGTACTTCTAGGGAAAGCAATCTGCTCATAATTTGTTTGTTTTTTTTAGGCATCACAGTTTTTATGCCAAAGTTATCTAATTTGGATCTAAAATATGAATAGCAGCATTCTTCAAATGAAATACTAAACAACTTCCAACAATTATTAATGGCTGTGATATGTACTATTAAGTCATGTGTGTTAAATTAATGAAAATTAATATAGTTGTCAGAGATCTGATGGACAGTGGGGACTGAACTGGATTAAAGGTGGAATGCAATGTGTAAACATTGTTGAAATAGATGGCAAGAAGAATTTGGAGTTAACAAAACGATGACTATCAAATCTAATGAATAACTAATTCTGTGTAACTGAAGGCTTTTATTACTGTCTACTTATTGTTATTAAAAATAGCACCATCTAGGAGAGGTTGTTTTAAAATCGGGCCAAGAATTTACTTTTGGCACAACTTCATTTAGCAGGTTAAGTCAGCATCAACAGGGACATTTTCTGAAGATCAAATAATCTCTTCAAAATACCTGTACCAGAACCTAATTCTGACCTGACTTCACCATTGGGCTCCTTTGGCTCAGTTTCTGAAACTCTGAAAATGGGTGACTTTAGCTATCCCCTCCTAGCCTCTTACTACCACTTGAGCCAGAAAGCAACCTGGCTTTCTGACCCGTTCTCTACTGAAAGAATTGTTAGAGTCTCCAATGCCTTCTTAGTCGCCAGAGCCATGATCTGTTTTCATCCAACTTCTAAAATCTTTCTGAAAGTTTAAAAAAATCATTATCATATTATCACCTCTGTAACAGTTACCCACAACCTTTTCTCTCCTGGTATCTAAATCTTGACACCATCCTGGTTCATTTCCTTTCTACCTATATACTTAGTTTTAGAACTGATATTAAATATCTAATGTTTGTTTATTTCAAATTTTGTTAGATGCTTGTTTATATTTTTCTTAAAGAATCAGTTTTCAATTTATTTTAAATTAATTTTCTCTATATTCTAATTTATATGTTTCTTATTTATTTCCTTGCATTTTCCAAGATTGAATGCTTAGTTCATTCATTCACTTACTCATTCTTCATTTTCTCTCTTTTTCAATAAAAGCATTTAAAGCTACATATTTGCATCTGATAATAGCAATAGCATCAAAGTTTTTTCTCATTTTCTAAACAGTCTGTTGACTTAATTGTTACTTAGATACATTTGTACATTTCAGATGGGTGGATTTGTTTGTGTTTAAATATATTACTCACTTTGATTTATTAAATAAAAATAGAAATATCAGAAGAATGGAAGTGGGAAAATGCTCTGATTTTTCAAAAGGATTACAGAATCCACAAATTTGAAAATATACTGGTTTATGCAAATATTTTTACTAATGACTTGGAAATGAATGTTGTTTATTACAAGTAGCCAGGGTGATTCACTAAAAACAAGTCATTCCATTATTTTGTTTGATAGTGTTTAAGGTCTTTCAGATTTTGTCAAGGTATGTCAATACCTGTGGCTATAACAGAGGGTAATGCATGTTTAGTTATAGTTGAATAATTATACCCCAAGTGTATTGTTCAATGTTC